TGATTCCAACGTGGACTTGACAAATTTCATATTTGTGAGGAATAAAGCCATTCTCGTGTAGGCAACATATCTTCGTTTGTCTAAATCTCCAGTTCCGTTATTGCGTGATATTTTAAGAGTTCCACTCTACTTTTTATTTCATATTTATTTTGTTTATATTTTAAATGAAACATTTTTTTAATGTAAATCGTGTATATTTGTTTTTTAAACAAACAATCGTTTTGTGAGCTTTACTGCATTCCGGTTTTAAAGGGTAAGGGTCCTGGTGAAATTACAAGCACTAAACAATATGATTTTTTTTACTAAATCAAATTTAAAAAGGAGATTACAAATAAAAATTGAACATATTGTGTTCTATTTATATTCTATCCGTAGTGTTAATATAATTTAATATACCCTGATAGACTAAGATCGAATCAAGTTACTTTATCACCCTAAACAACGTTTTCGACTCATCCGTAGAACAAAGGCCTATGTGCAAGACAGCTTATACTCACAAGAACAATGTACATTACGTTCGTTATTCTTCGCTATGGATATCGACCGGGGTGTTTGATTGTAAATGTTCAAAACGAAATAAGATATAAAAATTAAGTAAACACCTATAGATAGGCCTTACTTTAAATAACAAGATTATGTATTTATATTTTCCATTGACTTACAAATAAATGGACGACGGGTCTAATACAAAACCCACGAAAAAAATGTCCCAAGTCAACCTATTTAAACGTAGTGACATGTAAAGGAATATGAAAAAGCTAAAACGTTGAATTTAAATTGTAATGTCATCGCAGTACCTACTGTCTAATTTTGCTTGCTTCGCTGTCAGTCGAACAAACGAAGACTAAAGCGTGAATGACGCTCTGTATACGATTTTAACGCCCTATAAGTTCGGACACTTTTTAGCGCGGACCCGACGTCCATATAATTGTAAGTCAATGATATTTTCGCTCTATATTCACATCAGATTCTGTTCTATGGATTAGTCGTTTTGTTTGTAACAATCAAATATTTTTTCAGTAGAAACATTTAGAAAAAAAAACTTGTATCTTGTTTACTCGTAAATAAAAAGCATCTGTAAAACAGATATACCAATTGCTACCATTAATTTTACAGGTAAATCTATAAAGATTAGATAATAACACGCTTTATTATCAATCCGTGTTATCTTCCACGTGATAATATAGAAACGTGTTCGACTTTGTTTAGTTCTAAAAATTGGTGAGTTGTTATCGTGTTTCTTCGGTAAATAATATTGTTGCTAGCCCGGCTTATTTAGGCTTACATCACATCGAAAAATTGTAGGTCACAATAGACTAGGCAGAACGTCGATCAACCAAGTCTTCTTACTGTTTTTCTTTTCCACAGTTTTGCAATTTGCGCGCGAATATTTTTTTTTGCGTACCTATGTATGTTACGCGATGACTCTGACATCTGTGAACCGATGTCGACGATTCTTTGGTTTTTGGTAAGGGGGTATATCAGTAGTGGGTCCCATTAAAATTTGAAGAAAAGATTACCTACATCTAAAAGGTGAATATGTTATTGGGTTTTACCCACTTTCCGTTCACCAATTGCAATAAAACTTGGCAAATAGATGTCATTCTACAATAATAATAATAATAATAATAACGCACATACTCACAGCCCCGCACTAGGGAAATCCTGTGTCGTGAGTGTCATGGACACATAGACAACCACAAATTACACCGAAGCTCACGAGAGAAACAAATGTAGGCCATAGAAATATTTCACCCGGGACCTATGCGAGGCAGACAAGCATGGTAACCGTATGACCACAGAGGGAGACAAACATTATAAGGTCGGTTTTTTTATTTTAGTTACAGTTTTTACACGTATTAAGTACATTACGTTTTCAGGTTCTCAATTATTTGTTACCTTTTAAGATATTCAATGAATAACAACGTAACAACCACTGATCATTTCAAAATTTGTAACAGGCAATTGTTAACTGTAGTTTGTTCAATCCAATGGTCTTAGTACATTAAAACCGATTATCACGTTCTTACTACTTATTGTTAAGCACAAATTAAATATCAAT